ATTTTCTTTCTAAGAACTATAATTGACAGCATATCCAAACAAAAATCAATGCAAACTTATGTAAATAACTTTACAAACAATTATTTACATAATACAATAAATTATAAAACATTATAATTCCCCCAATCTGGACTAAGTTACAGATTTTCTCTCACTTAAACAGCTCTCAAAATAAAGTGCTCTGTGACTGGAAAGAGGAAGAAATAGTTAACTTAAAATGAGTTGCTGTATGTAACAAAACTGATGTCATTTCCCACTATGTTTATGAATGGTCATTCCCTCCCCCCTAACCTTATTAAATGTGTCATCTTTCACATCAAATTCTTACTTCGTTTCAATTAATTCAGTTAGAATAATAAGAAACTGTAGAGCTGTTACCATGCAAATGAAATTAGTATTAACAAACTATCTTTCCACTGCTGAGGAAACAGATGCATTTACACAGACAGCAGGGCTGGGCGATGTGTCAAAAATATCTTATCGATAATCACTTGGTTTGGTTTTACTTTTCTGAGTTTGTGCTTAAACTAACAAAACATTAGCTTTGCTGTTATTTTGGTGATGAGAATAATTTCCACTCTGTTCTGATCAAATTTGTGTTTGAAATAAATTTCGTTTTGTGAGGAGAACTGTTGAGGAAAAATAATAGAACCCAATTTTAAGTTCATTATGGTGAAGTTGGACATTCTGGCCGTGATTGTAAGAATGAGAAATGTACGTTGATGTCATATAATAATGTCTTGAATAAAATATGCCTATTTACCGATGTTTTCTCTCTTTTTGGCATTATCACCTGTGTAGATACAATTCATGATGGTAAGTTTAATTTCCTTAATTATAACAATTGCAGTGCTGTTTTTAAACTTGTAGTCAAGCTATAACGTATTTGATTTTTATCATGCAATGATTAAAACTTAATTCTTAGCAAAAACGTTAAGGTTTTTTTCCCTTTCTGGTAGCCTAGTAGTTCGGAGGTCTCTTTTGGCCCATTTTTAACGAAAAATAAAAATAACTGCTTTATTTATTTAGAAGCAGGGTAATTTAAATTTCATTTTTGCATTGTAATTTTTATTAATCAAAATACAACGGCCACAATATAATATTCAGTGTTGGGCTGCCGAAACTCTGCATGTTGAGGGGCGAGCTGAGAAGCCTACTGAAGTCTTCATCCGTTTGCAACAAAATTCATTTGCAACAAAACTATAAAGTTAAGAATTTATAGTGCTATATCTCAGCTTAAATTAAACAATTATATTGTATGCACCGTTTAAAAATCTGTAAAAATATTACACTAAAATGTGCGCTGAAGAAATTTGCGTATTTTTATAACTGTCATGTTTGTGGTTTTTCATCATTATACAGTCGGTTTAAATAAATATTCAGAAACACATGCAGTGCTACTTTGTCTTTTTTTCTGTTTAACTTTTATTAAACTGCAGATCAAATTAGAATAGGCCTATGACCTAAATAAGGATAAATTATATTGGAACGCATCTCCAAAATAAATCGCATACACAGATGCACGTTCCCATTACAGAAGTCAGCGCCGAACAACAGGCAAATAAAATATAAAGTGAGGTTACAAAAGTGATTCAGTCAAGATCAGTTAGGGATTTTCTTTTTTGTTCTTTGATTGACATTAATGACGGGTGGCAGCGGCTGCTGTCAATGCATGGATCCAATACACCCTTGTTTTCTATCTCAACTCTTTACGTTCACTTAAGACATAACCGATTGTATTTATGGGAAATTTTGATATAATTCTGTGTGTATTTGTCCATTCGAATGTGTAAGAATGCGAGAAAGAGAGCTCAGTCCAGTTTTCACATATGTAAGAGGCGGCTTTTGTGCATGCGCTTTGTGTTTAGGGATGCTCCGATCCACCTTTTTCACCTCCGATACCGATACCTAGGGTTCAGTATTGGCCGATACCGATCCGATACCAGTGAAGTTTTTTTTTTGGCCATTTAAATAAATGTAGAATTTATACATCTCTGTGTGTGGAACTGATAATCATTCTTTCCCAATCTACGAAATACAGACTACATTATAAAGAAAAATAAACAATAAATATGAAAAAAATATATGTACATTCTAGGGCACGGACTAGTCGAGTAGTCGAGTGAAGTCGGGGAAGTCGTGGCCTAATGGTTAGAGAGTCGGACTCATAACCCAAAGGTTGTGGATTCGAGTCTCGCACCGGCAAGGATTGTAGGTGGGGGGAGTGAATGTACAGCGCTCTCTCCCACCTTCAGTACCACGACTGAGGTACCCTTGAGCAAGGCACCGAACCCCCAACTACTCCCCGGGCGCCGCAGCATAAATGGCTGCCCACTGCTCTGGGTGTGTGTTCACAGTGTGTGTGCGTGTGTGTTCACTGCTGTGCGCGCGCACTTTGGATGGGTAAATGCAGAGCATTAATTCCGAGTGTGGGTCACCATACTTGGCCACGTCACGTCACTTTTTTTTCTTTTTTTACTTCAACCACTAGTCGGTGCTGTCAGAAACAATCGTCTACTCGAGCATGCATTAACCATAATGCATGCACAGAGTTTGCAAGTACGACTTGAATTTTAGGATTACAATATTACGTGTAGCTGTTACTTTATGACTTTCTCCATGTTGCATGTAAAATTAAAATATGTAATGTAATAATTAGGGGTGTGCCCAAAGCCGAATACCTTATTCGGAATGGAATGGATAAAGGCTTCAAAAACGAATAAGGAATAATTCCACCAGAATATTCGGCTGAGGCTGGCACAGTCTGGTGTTTGCTAGATAACAGGTGCGCCAGGGGATCAGCACAATATTATACACAGACCTCTAAAGTCACGCAATAATGAGTGTGTGAAGTGAATGAATGCATGTAAACTTTATGAATGAAAAGAGCACATATCAAACACGCATTGCTGTTGCCTCTCCGTGCATCTCTCAGAAATCAGAGCTTGACAAGAGTATATCAACTAAAATAATACATCATACACGTTCTATTATTTGTGTATATTAAAAAGGCAATGATTTAAACCTTAGGCTACAATATGATACACAAATGAATGGAATAAACAGTGCGCTCACCAATCAAACAGCTGCGCTGCGCATCTCAGTCTCTCAAAAACCAAACCAGCTCTCTCCCTCTCAATAGTAGGCTAATAATAATCTTCGATACAGATACATTTTCTACTAGGCCTACATGTTTACTTTATTATCTTTGCTGGTTTGCAGATACACGCACATTTGTTTAGTGAAGTTCAAAAGACTCGCTTAAAGAATTCTGTGTAATGAAAATGCGCACCTTCAATTAATTCAGTAGTGTTCAAATGATCACTAAACGTTTGTCATGACATCTCTGCTTGTATGAAATTTATTTTTAAAAATTAATAATTATTTTAGTTTAACAGCATATTTGTTCAGTGATTAAAAAAAAATAAAAATAAAAAAAGATAGTCATAGCGGTCTTATCAAGTAACTGTATGACGTTCCACCTGGTTTTAT